GGTGTTTGCCATCGGGATTGGGTTTTCGTCGCTTGGCAACGACGTTGTACAACAAGTCCCCCCCTCGGTGTTTGCCACGGGGCTGGGTTTTCGTCGCTTGGCAGCGATGTTGTAGAACAAGCTCATTCACTTCGTGAACTCGGTAACCAGGTTACCGTTTTTTCTTGCCGTTCATTTTTTTTTGCGGTAACCATGACTGGTCGAGTAGATCATGTCATGCGGGGTCGAGAACCTTGACTCCGCGCAACGGGGATAATCGCACCACATTGTGTTATAATTGGTCAAGCACCCTCGAGGCAATTGCACATTGCTTACAACTGTCTCTGGAAGTGAACGCACCAGAAAATATTTTATGTCATACGCAGCTGTCATCCGTACGCAAGGAAGTAAGCACAAGATGCCGAACACCCTTNGGTCAATGGTCTAACGACTACGGCGTGCACGACTATGAGTACCCCCCCCCTATGGGAACATTGCTCCGTCCTCTCGAGGACGCGTGGTCAATGATCTATCTGCTATGGCATACAAAACGTAGAAGTACGCCCGCCCCCAAAAAACAAAATAAAACTTGACGAACGACAAGGTATGCGCGACGTGCGGCACCGCTTACGAGGGCAACGTGAACGAGGTGGTGGAGATGGAGAACAACATGCTTATAGGCATCAACAGGCGTCGCATCAGGAGGGACAAGGTATCTATTCCGGTGTAAAGCTTGCCCTCGGCGAGATGCTGGCGCAGACGAGGACTTCGCAGAGAACGATACTGTAGGTACTTGAATATTCACTTGTCTTCTCTCAAGGCATAGTCATTTATCAACAGAGATGAAAACGTGAAAGCAAACTCGTTCCGGGGTGTCACCTGCAGTGGTTCACCTACAGTAGTGGCTGGCCTTGTTTTTCGACCCCTAGTGTCAGGTCAAGAGGGAACATGTCCGCTATTCAGCTCAGGTCCCTATGCCGGTAACGGCTGTTTTAGTCGGTGTGCAGCGGTGCCAGTCACACGACTTGATTGATCGCCGCACATACAGGACTTGATTGATCGCCGCACATACAGGATGTGCCGCTAGAAAGGGGGTCGCTGACCCGGGCCCACCAGTGCCGTACCTGCGTTTCACTTCATGCGCTCATCGCGTCCTTGCGCGCCCTTGCGCGCCTTTCCGCACACATCCGCTGCTGCTGGTGCTGTTGTTGCCGCCCCTCCCTCCGTTGGTGTTGCGGGGCCAACACGCGGCCGGCTGCCTTTATTGCATGCTTGATGCCCCCGCTCAGACGCCGGTGGGACCTAGGCTTGACGCCAAAGGCCGGATCGTGAGCTTCGCCGACACCCGGTACTGCCTGCGGGCGTTCCAGATAATCTTCCTCCGGCATGTCAAGGTGAGTGGGGTGTTTGCCTCTGCGGTGCCTGCCTCTCGGTCATTGGGACGGGCACAAGTGTTTTTTTTCGAGGCAGACTACTGTAGTTTAGCACCACCGTCCCTTCCGCCGCCGGTACACCGGCTTGCCTACGCAAAGAAGCTAAGCTTAGGGTTAGCAGAAAGACCAGACAGGGGGATACGCAGACCCTACACCTTGCCCCCAACCCCAACTTAGCCGATTCCATTCTCCATCCAGTATGTCAACTGTAAAAACCTGTGTAGACTACTTGCTGGCTACACCTCGCCGTCTACAAGTTCATTCTTTGTCACAATGCTTTCGAGCCAGGCGTTCTGCTCTGCGGCAGCGCTGTCGAGCGAGGCGACAGCCGAGATGAAGCGGGTGTCTTCCGACGTATGGTTCTCATACCTCGAGCGCTTCACGCTGCCCGAGGCGTGCGGAAACGGCGGTATTCGCGTCAGGGACGATTTCAGGTGGGGGTTGACCATCATGCACTCTCTCGTTCTCTCTCTCCCGCCTGCGCGATACCACCAGAGTATAGATAAACTGGCGTTGCCAAATGAAAGTACATCATGAAAAATCAGAGACGACGGATGTCAGCGCCAGGGAAATGATGTCGTCTACGTTCTGCTTTCACGGCATTAACTTCCACCGGCGAACAACCATGGCAAGCGCAAGACGCGCGCACGTCGTGTTATGTAGGTGGTACGAGCTACAACCCTTCCAATTTTTTTTCAGAACAGCCGACGTGGGAGAAGAGAAAACGGCAAGTGCTTGACCCGCGTCCTCCACCCACCCGAAAAACGCGTGCACACATACGTACGTACACTGCTGTCTACGCGTAACATGTAAATCCAGAACGGGCCTCGACAAAGGAGAGATCAAAGCTCGATTCGCGAAAGAAACCGGCGGGGGGGGCAGCGGTTTTGATGGCGGCGGCCTCGAAGGTCAGGGTCACGACAGCGGCGTAGACAACGAGGGCGGGAGCGGGTGGCGGGCGCGAGCGATGGGGCCGGTCAACGTGGACGAGCGGGAGATGGAGGCCTACTTCCAACGCACCGGGGACTGGCAGAGGACCGTCGGCACGGCCAGGGCTAACCCGGGCTACTCCTTGGTGAGTTCGGCACACCGTACCTTTAGCGGCGTTCGTCCCCACACGAGCACAAAACGCGCCCGCACTCAAGAACCTTTATTATAGTGTTGGCTGAGCCTGGGGTTCTTACTGTATTCCTAGGGTCATGCTTCGAATGGTCGCTATATAGGCTTTGGTATAGGTGTTATTACCTGAGCTCACAAATGGTGCTCAATTTCTTGGGTTTTGAGTTTTTTCAGGCTGTGTCAACTTCATCATAATTTGCCAAGTTCTTGAATTCTGTGCGGGAGCGTTCTGTAGTATGGTAGGGCGGCGTTTGCGCGGGTACTTGTTGGCGAGCGGGGGGGGGGGGGTNGGGGGGGGGGGGGGGGGGGGGGGGGGGGGGGGGGGGGGGGTGCTGAAGCTCATTGCCGCCACCATGCCCTGGATACACGTACAATGGATGGCTATTTTTTGTTTTCATCGAGCAGCACGGCGTTATCGGCCGTTGGGTGGCGTGACGATGGAAGGTCGAGAGTGTTCATATCTTGGAGTATGTAAGATACCTCTCCTCTTGGGCCGTGTTTCAAAGCTCGACTACTCTGCAGCAACGGTGCAGGGAATGGATGCGTTGGAACCGTTTTTTCTTGTCGGGAGCGGTTCGAAAAACATGTCGCTGGATTGTGGCATCCTCTTCGTCGTGGAATAACCAATCTTTGCCAACCGGTCAAGGGGGTATGCTATCTGTCGCCACACCTACGATGGCTGCCGTACCACCAACAGCGGCAGCGCTCGTTCGCAGAGCAGCTGTGTGTCGCTTTCGCGTGCACGCGCCGCCATCTTCTCTCGCCCGTGCTTCCTGTTCTCATGCCTCCTTCGTGTCGGTGCTCCCTTAATCGATTACCAGCTGGATTTTTAATCACCCCGTGAGAGTTGCCGCACCCGGTTTGACTGGACACGAAATGTCTTGATGATCGTTGCGACTTGTCGCTCATTACCCCCCGCCCCCCTCCCCTTCATGCCCCCAATTTCTTGCACGCGTGTGTGTGTTTTTTGGCGAAACCGTCCTGGCTTATGTGGAAGACCTAGAAGAATCGACTGAGCTCCATCCCCCTCCCCCCCCCCCCCCCCCCCCCCCCCCCCCCCCCCCCCCCCCCNCCGGCTCACCGCACAGCCTCCGATTTCGATGCCGCTGGTTCCCGCTATGCTGTGCGTGTGCGCCCGCTGGCTGCGCTCACCGTTGCTGGCGATTGACGTGGTTCGGTGGATGAACGACGGCTCCCTCCCGTACATGGGATGCATCGAGGTAAAAGGTGCAATATGGGAAGCATGCATGTTGTGCAAGTCGACCCCCCCCCCTGCCGGGAAAGTTCCTCAGAAAGTTCCTCATGATGAGGGCTAGGGTTAGGGTTGCATATGGCGAATATCAGATCCTTCGGGGGGGTGGGTGGCCCCCTGTCCTGACGTGCCCCATGAAAACCTGGTCCGAAAGCGTGTCGTGAACCCGGGAGTTCCAAGTGTTGATTCGCGCATTCTTCTGGTTTAAAGGGCTAAATACCATATACTCCCCCCGTTGGGGTCGTCCTTTGGTGCCGGGTTTTGTTTGTTTGGGGACAGATGGCGATTGATAGGCGCGGAACAGGGGAGAAGCTCTGTTTGCAGAGGCGCTATCGTAGAACCTCATTGTTCCGATGATGATGGGAACTGATATTGATTGCTTTCGCACAAAAACACCACCAACAACAACAGCAAGGACAACAACAACAACAACAACAACAACAACAACAACAACAACAACAACAACAACAACAACAACAACAACAACAACAACAACAACAACACGTAACACTCTTCGCCTCTCCCACGGCTCTTCCCTTCCGCACGGCGCGAAACGCAGCTCCTTCCCGCGGACCTCAAGGCTGGCCTAGGCAAGGCACGGACCTTCTTCGCTCCGAACAAGGTCCCTTCCTCAGTGATCGTTGCCACCCTCGCCGACCGCCTCGCCGCCGTGCTGGGGCTGGAGGTGCGCCCATCATCATGACCGTCGTCGCTAATTGTTGTCGCCAGGCTCTGGCTTTGTTTCTGCTGTTGGCCAACGCGAAAGTAGCGGCTTGGGGTGTTTTTGCGAAAGGTAGGGACGATGGTCGGTGGCTCTGTTACGGTCCAGCATGTGCTGGTGTTGTTGTACATCAGGCGGGCCGCGTGTTGGGGGGGGGGGGGG